AGTCGTCTCGTGTGATTTAAACATAGCTTTAGTCCATAGAGTAGGCACTCTAGTAACATAAATGAGAACTACGACGTTCTGATTATGAGGATGTTACAAAGATAGAGGCTACGTCTAAAATATCCTTAGTCGAATATTATGACAATACGGGCATCATAATATATTTATAAGACTAATACGTATGAGATGAGATAGCTGCGTCACATAGGCTATAGATAAAGTGTTATCTGAATCTACACGTAGGCAAACATATTGGATATGTTGCTGGATTAACCCGCTATGAGAATAATATATGGATTTAAGTTAAATGTTGATATTATTCTAATGTGACCATTAGTATAACTATCCTTCAACTTGAAGTCATTACGATCTTTGGTAAATTGAGTTGCATACAATTATGTTTAAGGTATGTAATGAAGTTTAAGCAAAGATTTGAATGACGTAGATAGAATTTATTCATTCTTTAATAAAGTATAATATCTTAGGCCACTGCTTGATGTGACTTGGAAAGTGCATGGTCATGCCCAAATAAATATGTTATTTGAATCCCACAAGTCAATCCAAGAATAGTAAACCATCGATTTAACTCTTAGAAGGTGACACACCCCACACCTTGTGTTAAATCAAGATATTAGTGATAAAGGGATAAGAGTTATACAAATAAGATGTGTCGTTGAAAGAATTGTTCCAAGAGCTCTATATCTATAATTTGTTAGCGATAATGTGTTGCTAGATACCGCTTATCACTTGTAGTATTTAATCAATACTATGGCCAATTTTATAGGTACCTAGAATAGAGTCAGACACATAGAACATATGAAAAGTGTAGAATATTTAAGTGGAGTAAACTTGCATTTTATATATATTGTGTATATTATATTATGTGATAATATGATTAAATAAATAAACATATATATAAATAAATATTTATATTTTAACATTTTAATTATATAAAAATTAAGTACGTCAAATATAATTAATAATATATATATATGGATATATATATACATACATATATATATATATAAAATACATTTTTTATTATTTTATTATTATTAAGGCGCAAAATATATTTATATATTTGATATTTGGACATTTTCTTAATTAAATGATAATTAAGTTTGTCAAATATTGTTTATGAAGAATGGTTAATTTCCAATAACCATAATGGGGAGATTACATGTGTATATATACAAGAGGGTTTCCTAGTTAGGGTAGGAAACATATATGGTAATCTATACACTTAAGGTAACTACAATAATTACAATTATTAAATATAGTAAGAATATATTTAACATGCTCCCGACAGCGCTGATAAGGAAGGCCGAACGCCCAAGCAATCCCGGAACTCGGAGAAGATGATGGATGGGAGGCCCTTCGTGAAGATGTCTGCGTACTAAAGTGACGAAGGGACATGAATGACGCGAACCTGTCCAAGAGCTACCTTGTCACGAACAAAATGAATATGAACCTCGATATGCTTCGTGCGCTGATGCTTGACAGGATTTTGCTGACAGGTAGACCGCGCTGATGTTGTCGCAAAAGACGAGTGTGGATCGTGTGAGGGGCTGCTGAAGCTCGAGAAGAAGGTTCCAGATCCAACTGACTTCGGCCACGGCATTTGCTACGGCTCTGTATTCGGCCTCGGCGCTAGATGTGGACGTGGTGAGTTGGCGCTTAGAGGACCAGGAGATAAGGTTGTCGCCAAGGAAGATGCAATATCCGGATGTGGACCGGCGAGTGTCAGGGCAGCCCAGTCAGCATCGGAGTAGGCACGCATGTGATCTGGTGGCGACAGAGTGATGGAGATGCCGTGTGAAGGTGTGCCATGGAGATACCGGAGGACCCGTTTCATGGCGGTGACGTGGGATGTGCGTGGGGCATGAAGGAAGAGGCAGAGCTGATGGACTTCATACCTGATATCCGGACGAGTAAAAGTCAAGTACTGCAGTGCCCCGACAATAGACCGGTACAGTGAGGGGTCCGCGACAGGTGAACCTCCGGAGGCCGACAACTTTCCCCGTGTATCCACCAGGGTGGAAACTGGTTTGCATGAGAGCATGCCCGCCCGATCTAATATGTCATACAGGAACTGTGTCTGTGTGAGAAACAGACCATGGGTGGTGCGCTGAACATTTATGCCGAGGAAGAAGTGAAGATCCCCCATGTCAGTCATAGCAAACTCACCCTTCAACCGCTAGATGATCATCTGAAGAAGTGTTGGGGACTTGTCGTGCGGTCCAAAACAAATTAAAAATTTATAAAATATCCTTAGCTAACCCCCAATATAATCAAATAAAAACTATAACTAGGGCAAGTAAGGGTCGATCCCACGGAGAAAGTTTGTACTTTTTAAAACGAATTTAGTATGCAAACACGTTGTCACTAAATAAAATAAAAAAAAACTACTACACATATGATAAGACGTATAAAACTTATAATAAAACTTATAACTATAACTTATATAAACAAAGAACTTATAATATAACTTATAAACATAAAACATATACTTAAGATATACTAAAAAATATATAAAAACTTATATTTATAACTTAAAACACAAAAAAAGGGGGGTTGAATAAAAAGTAAATATTTTTTGGTTTTTTATATTATCTTATTTTTTTGGTTTTTTTGATAAAATGGGGGAAATAATCTCAAAAGATAATCAACTTTTCCAACAAAGGTAACCCAAGAAACACCGCCAAAAACCCGAAACAAAATTTAAAAGAGAACGAACACAAAACGAACATTACACGTATAATAGGCACTTAGACAATATATTACGTAACTTACGCACTTAAAAATAGAAAAGAATTCAAAGGCTCGAGTTGATTCATATCCTTAACCACATATAGAGGATCGTCAACTCTCTATAAGGCCCGGAGTCAAAGATTCAAAGGCCTTTTGGTTACTTTGAACCCCCACTCACCTCAAGCGCTCAAACAATGATTCCAAAAGATGAAAAAGTTTATAAAAGAGCGAATCTTTCTTTCATTCTAACTCCCATGCACAAAGTATTCATGAAGAACATTTTATACACTTTAATAAACTTTAACGTCTAATGATGAAAATATTTTGCAGGTCTCCTTGAACTACTCAAGCATAAGAATTTTAATCTATTCACACAAAAGAACATTACATATTTTCATTAAATCAAGAGTTGTTTATTGCGCTTAAACAATCCCAATTTTTATAAAATAATAACAAGAACACCAAGACACAAACAATCACTTTATAACGAATCTTAAGGAAAACGTTCAACTTATGTGGCTAAGAAGTTCATTTACCTTAAAATTTTACAAAACACAAGTCACAAAAAAGGTTCACGTATGAATTCGAAAATCACTTAACTAAGATATGTAGCTAAATTAGCTTCAATGTATTGGCTTAAGCTGTATGGTTGGATGAATACTTTAGTTTAAATATTAAGTTGGCTAAATTGTAGTTAAACGCGTTTTTAACTTCTTTGATCATTCTTAGTTAAAAGTAAGTATTCCCTAAATTATATTGTATTTTTTTGGCATAAAGAAACACCAACCATTTTGGAATTTTCGAAATTAACACAACAAGCAAAAAAAAATGTAAATTTGAATTGAAACAACACTTTCACAAAGAAATTGGAGAAGAAAAATGAAATTGACAAATATAGGGTTACCAATTGATAAAGAAGAAGATGAAATTGAAGTAATTGGAGCCATGACCGGAGTTGGAGATCGCCGCCCACCGCCGACCGGAGCTGCAGCCGCTACCGTCGCCGCGCTGGTTGTCGCCTCCTCCACCGCCCACCGCCCGGGCTAAGCCGCGGCTCTCAATCGTCGATGTTCCCCCCTCGTTGTTCCCCCCCTATCTTTCTTGTTGCAATTCGTCTTCAATTTATAGGCACAGCTTTTCTTCCCGTTGAGAATTGATTGTCGCGCAATTGATGGAGCCGAACGTTGGAGCGTTGAGTGCTTCTCCGGTTTTACTCGTTGAAGGAGAGACGGGCGACGAAGGAGTCGTAGACTCTTTCCTGGTGCCTGAAATTGGATTGGTATGGAGTGGTTGGGCTAATTTCATTAAAGTTGGGTTTGGGCTCCGGCCCAAATTTGATCTCTTGTTTTCAAACTTGAGCTTTAATTTGGCCTTTTGCTATACTTTTCTCCAAAAAATAAGATATCTGATAATTTTGGATTAGGAAAAATAAAATAAAATGAAGACAATAATAAAATGTTAAAAAATAATTAAAACCTACTATTTTTAAAAGAAAATTAAAAGATTGTAAAAATGAGAATTAAAATAAAACTAAGCTAAACTACTAAAAATTAAACTCTAAAAATATTAAAAATACCTAAAATTGAATGAAAAGAACTAACCCAAACCCGGCTTATCAAGAAGACCCTGTGAGGAGGTTGTGAGAATGATGTCATCTACATAGAGTAGGAGAAATGCCATCTGAGACCCCTGGCTAAACGTGAACAAGGAGGTGTTTCTCTTGCAGCCACGGAACCCAAGAGAGAGTAAGAAGGTTGTGAAGCGCGGGTACCAAGATCTTTGCGCATGCTTCAGTCCATAGAGCGCCTTGTTCAGTTTGCAGACATAATGGGGCCGAGACGGGTCCTGAAAACCGGATGGCTGCGCGGTGTAGACCATCTCAGTGAGATCTCCATGTAGAAAGGCATTTTTGACATCCAGTTGATGAGTTGGCCACCCACGAGAGACTGCTAAGCTGAGAATAATCTGTATAGTCGCGGGCTTGACCACCGGGCTGAATGTCTCATCATAATCAATGTCATACTGCTGATTGAAACTGTGAACAACCCATCGAGTAGAGGAGCTGGGGGGTTTGCGGGTAGGCGGGCGGGTATGGGGTTGGGCTGGGTGGTGCGGGTGGGTAGTATGAGTAGGTGGGTGGGTTCGGGTATTGGGTATAGTGGGCCTGGGCTGGGTGTGGGTTTGGGCTGTAGGTGGGCCGTGGGCCTAGGATGCCGGGTGAGGGGGTTGGGAACTGCCAAGGATTTGGGCCGATGGGTTGTCGCTGATTCGGGCCACGTACACGTCCACGTCCGTTGTTGCCCCGGTTTTGACCTCCGTAGGAACCTTGTCCAAAGCCGCTGCCCGACTGCCGTGACTGTCCCCCGCCGCCATTGTTGCCGCTGCCGTCACCAGTGCTGGGGAGGGCGGTCGACGGCCCGGTGTTGGAGAGGGCATCGGCTTATTGTTGTTCCACGAGTAGGAGCGCCAACCGAACCTTCATGAACATCGGGAAGGGGTTCTGATATTGTAAGAAGTGCACTTGGGTCCGAATGTCGTGGGGCAAGCCTTGAAGAACGTGTAAAACAAAAGCATGTTCGGTCACCGGGGCATCCACGTCGTCGAGGTAGTCCGCCAGATTTTTGAGGAGATGGCAATAGTCATTAATGGAGTGATTGCCTTTGACGGTTGTTCGGAACCGGTGCTCCAACTGCATCGCTCGAGCATGCTTATTATCATGAAAAAGTTTGTAGTTCGTCGTCCACAAAGCAGAAGCGGAGGGGCTGCTGGCAAGAACCAGATTTGAGACTTCATCGGAGGCTGTGGATAGAATCCATCCTTGAAGAAGGGCATCAAATTGAAACCATTCGGTGTCGTCCTTGGAAGAGGCGACAGTGGTACCGTCAAGATATCCCATGAGATTGAAGCGAAGGACAAGGAGACGAAAGAGGCGACTCCACTTTTTGTAGTTGGGTTCGGAGATGCTGAGTTGAACAGGAATATGGAGTTTGATGTTGGAGATTGTTGTGAAGGCAAGATGGGGAGATTTAGAGGAGGTGTTGTTGTCGGAAGTGACGGAAGAAGCTACGGCCATGGTTGCCGGCGGCGAAGAAGACTGCCGTGAGGGGGGAGGTACGGCCGAACGAGAGAGAGAGAATTAGGGTTGGAGAGGGGAGCTGTGATTGATTAGGGCTCCGATACCATGAAGAATGGTTAATTTCCAATAATCATAATGGAGAGATTACATGTGTATATATACAAGAGGGTTTCCTAGTTAGGGTAGGAAACATATATGGTAATCTATACACTTAAGGTAACTACAATAATTTTAATTATTAAATATAGTAAGAATATATTTAACAGTTTAAGGAACAAAATATAACATTATATATATATATATATATATATATATATATATATATATATATATATATATATATATATATATAATACACACACACACACACACACACATATATATAATAAATGTTATAGTATTTATTTTGTGTTAATTATATGATAATTAAAATTGACAAAATAAATTGGAAACTTCCTTAAAGTGGTAATTCGAAATTACCAAAGTCGAATAGGAATGAGATTTGATTTCTTTTCTAAACATTAAAAGGAACATTCTCATTAGGAATGAAAATGAGGATTATGCTCCTTATAAATAGGAGATCATCCCACCTCTTTTACCATTTCGAATTTTTGGTCCTCTCCCTTTTTTAAGAGACGAAAAGTTTGTTTTCTGCTCTTAATACTCTGCACCAAATATTTTATATTTTAGAGATATTATAGAGAAAAATTACTAGCATAATTTTCTCTAGAACACTATTCATTGTTCGTGTGTCTCAACTGGAGGTCATATACTTTTGTGGCTAGCTCTTGGACCAATCGTACAACCTACACATATCGTTGTTTGCTTGCTAAGAAGTGTATATTCTTTAACAATAACTTATAATGATCATAAGAGGTCTTGGGTGGATCTACGTTTGGACAATAATTTTTTTATATTTCCGCTGCTCTATCCAAGCGTAGAACCCTTCATTTACGTTCATAAATGGTCGTTTGGTTGAGTTTTATGTTTGATATGCTTGAAGAACTAAGAATCATAAACCTTGAAATTGTTGTTAAAACTACGAATTAATGATACCAAAATGATCTATGATCCTTGGAGAACATTTTTATATAGTTTAATTGAAGTTTGGTAACTAAAAATGGTATTTTCGAAATTAGACCCGAAGGTAGAAGACGATGAACACTAACAAGTGGATCGATCCAAGAGGCTGGATGGATCACCCGTAGTAGAAGAAATGAACACGGTGGATCGATCCATGGCTGTGGATCGATCACCTATGACTAATCTTGTGCAGTGGATCGATCCTCTAAGGTGGATCGACCATGCAAAATTCTGACTCGAAAATATTTCTGAAAATGTTATTTTTTAGATATAAAATCCTATTTTTTGATACCAATCAACTACGATCAATATAAATATGATTTATGAAAATAAAAATGATGTTTTTGATGAATAAAAACCTTATGTGATGTATGCCGGCGGGCCAATTCTCAATTTCTTATTATTGCAAAGAGACCCGTTTGTGTTTATGTATACAGATTGGATGTGAAGTATTGTTTAGCCTTCGTAGTTCAAGACAGTCCACATTTCCAAATACCATTTTTCAATCAACTATATGCACTACATAAATTTCATGAATTTGATTTCAACATATCACTGTTTTGAATCTAATTTATACTTTATAGTGATTCTTACTTTGTGTTATATCTTTTGTTTCGAAGTTTAAACTTTAAAGTACAAAAAAACTATAACACTCCAATTTGTATAACCCAGAATTATAGGAATTAAGGTGAAACGGGAACAATATTTTTAAAACATTTTCCAAATCATTAAATAAAATTCATAAAACAAAATTTTAAAATACAACATATTAAATTTGGATCGATCGTTTTACAAAATGCCAGAGATGGCGGAAGACTTAAATAATACAAATACATTGATGTGTGTCAAGCCCAAAACTCCAAATGCAATACTTGTGAAAATCATGCATGTCAACATGCCATCCTATCGTCTCTCCGTCCTCCGGGTGGTTCACATAATCTGTGCTTCAACCTATGTGTAGACAAAAAGACTACATGCTCAGCATAAAGCTGAGTGGTACGATAACACGAGAGATTGATAACATATATATACTTAAATATCATGCATCACATTGGTCACATAATTTTTATGCTTGCATAGTAGATAACATAAGATATAAGGTACACGTATACATATCACAGAGATTCATTTTTGAAAGTTATCCAAATATAAATACCTTGGCCTTTTCGTCCACGAAGTTGGATATGTAGTGCAATATGTTTTGCATAAATCCAGGTCGCCCATATTCATAGATATAATCAAGATGTTTATTCATGAGGATGAAACAATATGAGCGACACGAATCTCATAACGACTAAATGGTTCACATATTGACCAAGTGTCCCATGCCTATAGCTAGAGTATGGGAACCTTGTAATGACTACATGATAAATGATGCATGAGTTAGACTGCGCAGGGACCCCCTGCCCTTCAGTGATCATCCCACACGGTGATGACCCAAGGAAATCTTAGTCTCCTGAAGGAGAATAGAAATTGTGGGTGGTAACTGAAAGCCTAGTTACCATGTACGTACACAAGCCCTCCAAATGAAACCCGTTGGACCCCGAAGGCTCCTAGACAGACCCGCTGAAGAGGCGCACGAGGCCTGACCCCTTCAGTGGGATGCCATGATATGAATTATTCCTTTATCATGCATTTAGGATGCACATTATGTTGTGAATGGCATACTACCTTTGGATTTAACTGAGCATGCTTGACTTATGATCCCGAAGACTTATTTTGAAAACTAAGTCTCAGTTTCTAATCCATATTTCAATTATTGATTCTTACCTTGAAACACTTTGATTTTGGATCTTGCTAAAAGTTTAACAACCCCTGATAATCGATTATCACTTGGTGATAATCGATTATCAAAGTTCAGCAGTCCTTGATAGTAGATTATCACGATTTGATAATCTATTATCACAGTACTCGGGTTCTACTTTGGTCTGTCAAATTACGTTCAACCTTTTGAAAACTATAATGAGCATACAAGATTTACAAATATATCCAAATATATAGTGCCTCTTCATTCCAACGAATTTGTAGATGATTTCTTTTTCAACGAATTTCATACCATATATCTTTATAAAGAGAAAACTACAATCATACGGATTCAACGTAGGTTATGCCAAGTAGTTGAGCATATAAAAAAAACAAATACATATACGTTCATACATGTAAAGCACATATATTCGGGCATGGATTTACGTGTTCACGTAATCGTCTAAATGTAGTGTAGGTGTTTTCCAACTTGTTCATTCACATATCAAATTTACACCTATACGTATCAAGTGATACTATTACGATATCCAATGGTATTTACTCAAGCCTAACCATATTCTTCATCCTAATCGTTCTACTACTTTTATTTCAAAAATTCATATTGTTTACGATTGAGTCAAACATCCATTTAGCCTTGGTGCAATCGCTCAATTTTATAACGTCTTCTAATCATTGTTGTGTTCTCTACGGAACTTTAATAGATCAAGCACATACATGGTATGAATCTATATACTCATAATCACAAAAACATCAAACGTATTTGTATATAAATATATTAAAGATTCCTCCGTTATATTTAGGGTGTACATTTCTCGAATACGACACAACGTTTGAAAAAACCAAACGAATCAACAACGTCAACAAACGGTCATCAAACTATTGACCTTCCGACTTCCAAACGGCTTCTTGAGTTCCCTTTTCTTCTTCCAAATATGTTATGGGGGCTGTGGAGAGTTGGCATGCACCAAACGAATAGCGGGTTAAATAGATGGAACGAGAATGGAGATGGAAGTTGCAAACCTCGCGTTTTCCGTCGCCACTGGACCAATTTTGGTAAAATGGCCATATCGCCTTTGTTACTCGTCCGATTGACGAACTGTTTGTGGTTGTGGTTCAAAGACTCGCAGGGATACAACTTTGCTCCAGAAATTGTGACCAAACAATGAGTTTAAATTGGTTGAAATGCTGACCAAAGTGGACTGACAGGATTTCGCTTTCAACAATCAGCACCTCCATCATCTTCTTCCTCTTCTTCTCCTCCATCGGCCTTCCTCCTCGGTGTTGCTACTGTATTTCCAGCGAGATCGACCAAGAGAGAAATGAGAGGGAGAGGGAAAGGTGGAAGGGGAAAATGTTGATACAACCTATGAAGAACATGAGAAGAGGGAATGGATGGAGTAACATTTATAAGCCCAAGCATGAAAAGATGAAGAGATTCAACATGTGTTGGATAAGAATTATTTTTTGTGGAGAACCCAAAGTTGCGTGTGAAGCTATATGAGCTGGAAAAATCTAGTTTACTCCGTAATTAAATAACTAGTCTGAACGATACACGCTTTTTCCCCAAAACTGATCCGAATTGGAAACTGTTTGCATTTTCAGAAATAAACAGTCAAAACTAAATTTATGACATGTTCAAAATATTTTTCTCAACACTTTATTTTTCAAACTTCCGGATCCACTCTAATCATTAATTAATTTATTTACTTAATTAATATCGAGAGACCCATTAATTAAAAACATCTTTCTATAATTATAATACATTACTTTTTGGAAATCCTTTTAAAGAGATCAAGATCTCAATATTATTATTTTAAAATAATGAGTCTCAATAAATAAATAATATTTATTTATTTAAAATGTTGGCTAACTATTAGGCCGGTTTGTAGGGCGTTACAAAAACATTGCCCTTTCCCTCAAGATCCCTAAATTGCAGCCACAATCCCAAGCCAACTCTTCTTTGTTTTGCACATAAACCACTCTTTTTAAGCATTCTTCAATTCTTATATTTCAAATCAAATGACAAAAAAATATTTCAATTAGTTTGGAACAATTAGAATAACATGTTACACACTAGTTGTTACTCTTTAACTTTATATTTAGTTTGTTATTTTTTTGACACTTCATGCTCAAATATTTTTTTCTTTCTTACTTGAGACAGTACCCATAGAACCAGTAGAAAAGCTTGGAAGACTACATCCTATGAAGCATGTGTGCTCCAAAATGTAGCTGCACTAAGCACCCTGTGGGTGCTGGTGCTAGGGTGTCGCTGGGTGCGGCAATGGTGCGATGTGGGCAGACCTGGCAAGTTAGAACCGAAACTGATTATTC